ATTCGATGGACATTCATTTGAGCAAGCTCTGGGAGTTGGTGATGGACAGGGAAGCCTGGTGTGCTGCAGTCCATGGGGTCACAAAGAGTCATACATTACTGAGCAACTGAACTGAACTAAACTGAATGGAACATTTAATTAATAGATATTTTAAAAAATCTTCAGATCTTGACAATCTTATCATTATGAAGGGTACTGACCTCACAATTTTTTTACCCCAACCATAAAAATAAAACTAGGCAAAATTCCATTCTCATATCCAAACTAAAGGCTGATAATTTGTGATTATAAATTATTAGGTGAGTTTGACTATCTCTATTATTACATATACTCAAACATATAACCTATGATGGATGCATCTCTTTCAGCAACAAAAACAAATCCACAAATTATTTTAGCACTGTACATCAAATGAGTACAGTAAGTAGATAGCTATTGCTGCTGCTGCTGCTAAGTCCCTTCAGCCATGTCCGATTAGATGTTTTCAATTTAACAATAAATATATTATTGTCTTTTCAACTCATAAACTGAATTCACATTTTTATCTTGTCCAGTTTCAAGTGACAATGAATTGTAGCTAAAATTTATATGGGGAATTAGACTGAAATAACTGATAGCACATAAAAGTCTCCCTTTTAAATTCTAAATTAGTCTTTATTCAACTAATCACAGAAGTTCTCAAATTTTTATGCCTCAAAGAATCATATGAAGAGGTTGGAAAAGAGATTCCAGGAATTGATGGGGCTCATCAATCTATATTTTTAAAAAAACAAAACACCCAATTGATTTTTATTTTTAAAAATCATACCACCAAATTGGTTTTCAAGTAGGTAATTTTGAGACTGAACTGTGAGAAACACTGGAGGTTAATGGAGCTTCTTAAAAATCAGAGAGATGCCAACAGATCCACTATGAAAAACTGCTATTTATTTAAAAGTTCCCAGTTATCTCTATTATAGAAATAAATAAATAGAAGAAATACTGTTAGGCCCAAAATTCTGAGTATGAGATTTTTTCTCATTTATATATGTATATAGGTATTGTATCTGTGTATTATATACTACATATATATATATTATACCCCATGTGTAAATATATATATTCTATATACTATACATATTATGCATCTATCAGCTATTTTATGTACATATATTATTATATAATTTTATATATTATGTATTTTTTTCTTTTTATACCTGAGGAGGATAACAGGCTGAATTACCTGAAAATTTAGTAGGACAGAGACTTAGTGAAACTAAACTGCTTTGAAGAAAATTTTTAATGCAACCTTTCTTGCATAAACAATGAATACATGAACTATGTTTCATATTCAATCCACATACAGCCATGATACCATATGAGAAAGTGAAGAAATACCTTCTTTAAAAACGGAAATGTTTACTTGGAGAGGGAAAGTTCTCCTAGTGAGAGGTGTGCCCCACACAGATCTTCCCACCTCTTCATTCCGGGAGGGGTGGTAGGAGGGCCCAGGCTGACTTTCCGCTTCTCTTCCACTCACTGAGATGTGATCTGCCCAAATGCACAACAGCCTGGGTGAACACACTCACAGGTATAGAAGCTAGTAATGGTAGATGAAACTCAATAAACAACCTACTCTTTCAAACAATAACTATGAAAAATTAAGGGTTAGCAGTAACTTTTTAAATAAACAATGAAAGAGAAGGATCAAAAGTGAACAGAGAACAACTGATTCAGTAGGAAACAAGATCACTCCAGGAACAGAAGATAATTTTAAAATAATTCTCCATAGTACTTTCAGCAAGTGCTCATTCATAAACAAGAACAAACAAATATGCAAAAAGAGAATAAAAGAATAAGGAAGAGCCCATGAAAATTAAGAAGCAAAATTAAGAGAAAAAAAAAATGAGGTAAGCTGGAAAAACAATGAAGTCTTCCAAAATGTAAAGCAATAAAACCAGAAGTGAAAAATATTTTTAAAGAGTCAAAAATAGAGTCTAAATCCAAGAGGTCTAACATCCATCTAAAGAGTGTCTTCAATGACAGAACAAAGACAAGGAAGGAGGAGAAATAATCCAATAGCAGAAGAAAATCCCTAGAGCTGAAGACACGACTCAACACATGAAAGGGTTCAGAAAATGTGGCTCAGCAAAAATGAAAAATAATCCATTAACACATCTTCATTAAGTGTCAGAACATCTCAATGGATGTTCCTTCTCATTCTTTTCTTTTGATCTTCTTTTTCTCCTGCATTCCTAAATTTTGTGAACCTGAGGACTCTTTCCTTTGTAACTTATTTATTTATATTACGTCATCTATCCATTCAACCATGTCCAACTCTTTGTGACTCTATGGGCCACCAGGCTCCTATGTCCATGGGATTCTCCAGGCAAGAGTACTGGAGTCGACTGCCAGTTCCTTCTCTTTATTTTACTTATTTGCTGCTGCCGCCAAGTCGCTTCAGTCATGTCCGACTCTGTGCGACCCCATAGACGGCAGCCCACTTAGGCTCCGCCTGCCTAGGATTCTCCAGGCAAGAACACTGGAATGGGTTGCCATTTCCTTTTCCAATGCATGAAGGTTAAAAGTGAAAGTGAAGTCGTTCAGTCGTGTCCGACTCTTCGCGACCCCATGGACTGCAGTCCACCAGGCTCCTCCATCCATAGAATTTTCTAGGCAAGAGTACTGGAGTGGGTTATTTGCTACATGGTCTCAACTAGACTGATCACTTTGAATGTCACCTGTATATTGATAACCCCAAGTTTATATCTCCATTTCCAACCTATCCCTGAAATTCCAAAACTAATAAACAACCTACTCTTTCAAATAATAACTATGAAAAATTAAGGGTTAGCAGTTACTCTTTAAACAAACAACGAAAGAAAGAAGGATCAAATGCCATACAACACATAGATTTCTTTTGTGCAATCTAGCCTACATTTCAAAGGCAATATGTCTAAAATAAGATTTTCATCTCAGTCCCTACTCCAAATTGTTCTTCTCCTAAATCTTCCCCATCTTATTTATCCAGTTGCTCAGACGATAAAAACACAAGTCATACAGAACTCCTCTTTCCTCCTGCTGTGCATCCAATCCATCAGTAAAGCCAACATCTAACATGAATTTATAAGAAAAGTGTGTCCAAGAAGAATATTCATTTCCTAACACTATGATGAAGTTATTTTCTCCCTCTCTCCTACCCCTTACAACCCTGTTTATATTAGTTATATCTCTCATTCAAAACAATACAATTTTTAAGAACATGAGACTGCATCTTTGTCTATGGTAAAAACACTGTGTGTCCTACAGTAAATAACATATACAGAGAATTTTATATGTTGAATATTGGTTTTAAATTTTAAATCATCAAACTACAAAAGATTCATTTATATTTGTTAATTAAATCCAACTTCTATAACACTTGAAAATGTAAAAATAATGAAAAACAGAAGTGAATGGGTGGAAGTAGATGTGGCAGAGAAGGCACTGGCAACCCATTCCAATACTCTTGTCTGGAAAAATCCCATGGACAGCCTGGTAGGCTGTGGTCCAAGGGGTCATGAAGAGTCGGATACGACTGAGCGACTTCACTTTCGCTTTTCACTTTCATGCATTGGAGAAGGAAATGGCAACCCACTCCAGTGTTCTTGTCTGGAGAATCCCAGGGACAGAGGAGCCTGGTGGGCTGCCGTCTGTGGGGTCACACAGAGTCAGACACGACTGAAGCGACTTAGCAGCAGCAGCAGCAGGAGATGTGGAGGAAAATATAGGGACAATAAATCTCTGATCTCATACGTTAAAAAATCAAGGGGCACTGTCAAAAATTTACGGGTTAAGAAATATAATTTTTATGATAAATAACAAAAGAATTTTTTTAATGAGCCTGGTAGGGGTTGGAAGATGGGAGAAAAAATAAGTGAGCTAAACTTGCTTCATGTCATAGAGGAGAGTCAAAAGCTTTTTCTTTTTTCTATTTTTCTGAAATATTTTAATTTTTTTAACTTTTTATTTTGCATTGGAGTATAGTCAATTAACAAACAATGTTGTGATAGTTTCAGGTGAAGAGCAAAGGGACTAAGGCATACATATACATGTATCCATTCTCCCCCAATCTCCCCTCCCATCCAGCCTGCCACATAACGTTAAGCAGAGTTCCGTGTGCTATACAAAGGTCCCTGTTGGTTATCCATTTTTAAATATGGCAGTGTGTACGGGTCCATGTCAAATTCCCCATATCCTTCCCCCTGGCAACCATAAGTTTGTTCTCTAAGTCAGCGAGTCTCTTTCTATAAGTAAGTTCATCAGTATCATTTCTTTCAAAAGCTATTTTTAAATTGACATATTAATAAATAAAATATATGCATATTATTTAAGACTTGGATTTAAGTTTCAGAAAAACTAACAATAAAATAGTTTAAAATAATTATTTCTGGTGAGTGGGAATGAAAGGAATGTGTATGGAACCTTACTTTCCATTTAGCATCCTCTTCAGTGTTGAATTTGTATTATGACACATACTGTTAGTATAATAATTAAATAGGTTAATAAATAAAAATAAATCTGTTAATAAATAACAAAGCAAATGACCACAACCAATCTAGTCTTATGTCTAGATCTTCACACATATTTATTTGAATCATATTTGATAAAGAGACATCAATTTTTGTTTTGCTGCTGGTCAGTAGCATAAAAGATACAAAACCTGATTTAGGATATTTTTAGACTAGTTTTTATTTTTAACCCACTACATAAGTACAAAAATTGGTTAACTAGTGTCTGGTCAAAATATGTTGATGCCAGAATTTGTATTTAGTAAAAAAAATTCTATAAAAAGGATCCTTCATGTCTAGAACCAGAAAAGCTCATAGAGTAATTCACTGTAATTTACCTCCTCAAAGTACCACAGGCCTATATAACCCTCCAGAGGGAGAGGCTGCAGTCTTGAACACAGTGACCACTTCCATTGTCCTAATGCTACCCTTGTCCTACTTCTATGCTTATAAACATGGCACTATTTTTACCTTGAATAATGCATGGCTTGGTGGCCCGCAATATTAAAATAGAAGTCCGTTGTGTGCTTCATCTCATTGGTGTGCCCAGTGGCCTCAATCCAGTGTCCTATTGGGAGACAATAAACACCATCCACCAAGTTGTTTTCATTGTAAGTACAGCAACGGTCGTGGTGAGGCCCGTTGCCTGGAACAAGAAGAGATGACAAAGAAAGCAATTACATCAATGCTTTGCTTCAACAGTCACAGAGGTGCTGGTGCAAAATTAATAGCAAGACAAAAATAAATACAAAGCTGCATAATCTACACATCTCAGTATAAACAAAAATAGACTAAGTTGGTGATGGACAAGGAAGTCTGGCATGCTGCAGTCCATGGGGTCGCAAAGAGTCAGACACCACTGAGCGACGGAACTCAAGAGGGAACACAGAAAAATATCTAAAGAATTACTTGTTAACTTCAGAGTACTATGCTCCCAATGAATACATGGATAATTACAGAAGCATCTTAACTCAGAATTTCATGGGACCACTCAGGGCCTTAAGAGCCCATTGTGAGTCACTCTGCAGCCTGATAAGCTGCTGAAAGGGGCTTCCCAGATAGCTCAGATGGTAAAGAATCTGCCGGCAGTGCAGGAGACCTGGGTTCAGTCCCTGGATCAGGAAAATCGCCTGGAGAAGGAAATGAAGGAAATGAGGTCACAAAGAGTTGGACACGACTGAGCGACTAACACTTTTACTTTTCACTTTTCAAGCTGATGATAAAGTCTCTTGAGGCCATTAATGACCGTGTGCTGCATACTTTTACCTCCCTGGAATGCACATTTATGACTAAAATCACTAATAAATTGTTTCAGTATCAGCTCAAACAACAGATAAATTTTTTTTCAATAAATACATTTATAAATAATAAAATAACGGGACCATATCCAATCCAGGTTGCATGTAAATCAGTGGTTAGTATTATGTTCAGATGGGAAAACTAAGCACCACAGAGATTAACCAGCTTGCCCAGGATCACAGAACAAAGAACAAAGCGATCAGTAACCTGGTATCCCTCGTCCCCCACCTTTTTCAGGCACTTGATACCTTCATGCTGTTTTCTACTGCTTACTTTACAAAAGACAGACCCTCTGCCCTCCAGGGAGTGGAGCAAAAGAGGCAGAGACAGGACAACATGCCTCTGATAACATTATTTCCTTACATCACTATTCTGCCCAGCATCAACTACACGAGTAAACAGACCCTCAATTCCTATGAAAATTATTTCTACATTATTTTTATAATCTATTCTTATGTGACCACCCCCACTTCAAATCAACCCTTTCCTTAAACTACCTAATTTTCATATAGTGTCATTAATCAGAAAAACATATAAAGTGTTAGTCACTCATTCATGTCCACTTCTGTGCAACCCAATGGACTATAGCCCACCAGCCTCCTCTGTCCATGGGATTCTCCAGGCAAGAATACTGGAGTGGTTTGCCATTCCCTTCTCCAGGGGATCTCCTGACCCACAGATTGAATGCAGGTCTCCTGCATTGCAGGTGTATTCTTTACCATCTGAGCCACCAGGGGAGCCCAAGAAAAACATAGAATCAAAATAAAATAGGAATAAGTCACAATTATCATGAATATGAAAATTCGATTCACTCATTCCTTGCTCTGTCTTCTGAACTATTCTATCTAAGGTTATTTAGCATACAATCTATTTTTTTTTAATGCTTAAGTCATTGGGCAGTTCTTTAGAACATAATTCCCCTCATCAGACAGAGGGTACAAGATGGCCCCTTTAATAAATCATCATTGATCTTCCTAGCTGAGATTCCTCTTTTTCTCTTGATGGCTACAAGGTACTACACCAATTGCCTTATTAACCTTTATATTTAATAGAGAAGACCAAACTATACTAGCAGTCTCACTTCTAGAAACATATCCAACTGAAATATAACAAAGGTAAAGAAAGATACATGGATACATGCATGTGTGTAACAATACTATTTTAATAGCAAATACTACAAACTATGTCAATTCATCTATTCATTCTCCCAAAAATACTTATTGAATGTTGACTATATGGCAGGCATTGTACTAAATCTTGTTAAGGATTTAGGTCTTTCCCATAAAAGCAATTATTATTAAAATAATTATAAAATTTTATAATAATTATAAAAATATTATTAAAATGAATTATTTTAAGCAGACAGTTGACATGACCAAATTTTTATTGTGAAAATATCTCTCTGGTTACAGAGTAAAAAATTAACTCAAACACAACGAGATTAGAAGCAGAAAGTCCACTTAGGAAACTTCTGCGTTAACCCAGATAAGAGGTGATAAAAGCCTGAAGATAGAAATAGAAAGGATGGCGCAATTCAGGAGGGAAAATGATTAACTTAATGATTTAATGATTAACTGGATATGGGAGGTGAAGATGAAAAGAGAATCAGAAATGATTCTTAGGCTTCTGGCAAATACAACTCAATATATAGTGACACCATTTACTGAGATGTGAAAACAGGCAGAGTTGGAAGAAGACGGTCAGGCTGGTTTAGGCATTTGGGACTTGGGATGCTATTTAGATACAAAAGGAGCTGTTAGGTAGAGAGCTGAAGTTGTTGATTTGACACTCAGACCAGAGATCTGAACTAGAAAAATAGTTCATGAGTCATCTAAGTATAAATGGTAACTGAGACAAGGATATAGATGACTTACAAAGAAAAACAATGTTGATTGAGGAAAAAAGGCTTCTAGAACCAAGTTTGAAAGCATCTCAACATTTTACAGCTGGACAGAGAAGGACAAGATTAGAAAGAAGGAATAGAAAGAGAAACTGTAGAGGAAAACTGGGAGTGAGTAAGTGAGGTGGGGGAGTATAATTGAAACCATAGACTAAAAACAGGGTGGAAGCCTGTTTAACTAGCAACAGTAGTTATATCTGGAGAATGTAACTGGGAAGGAAGGACTATTTTACTCTAAATCATTTTGAACCCATTGGATTTGCTATAAAAAGAAGACATTGCTTTTTAGCAAAGAATAATATCTATGGCTCCTGCTGATCAGTATGAGACTTACAACAATCTACATGTTATAACTTAAACATAATTATTGAGGAACTCAAATATACATAAATTATACTGTTCAAGAAAAAATACGTATGTAAAATGAACTTCCTAAGAATTCTTCATTCCTAGAATTGAGGTTTTAAATTACTCATTTTTACAAAGACATCTTTTAGACGTAACAAGACACATCTATCTCTCTTAGTCAGAGAGGTATCGTGTCAGTGAGGGTGTAGTGGAGAGTGGGAGCTCCAACCGCATTCAGTAGTAACAAGGAGTCTGACCCTTCAGCTGTCAATGCAAACTGGATGGGGAACCTGGGTGATGAGGTGGTACCTCTCCCCTCTCGCTGGAGCAGTGTCAGAGAACCAGAAGGTGGACCCAGGTGCAGAGTCTCATCATAAAATACTCAAAATGCTGCAATTTCAATAGAAAGTCACCCATTATATGAAGAATCACAAAGATCTCAAACTGAATGAGGAAAAAATGCTCAAAAGATGCTCAACTCAAGATGACAGACATGTTAGAACTATCTGACAAAAACTTTAAGCTTCAACAATCCATTGAACATACTTGAAATGAAAAATCACAAAGTCTTAGCAAGGAAATGGAAGATGTAAATAAGAACTAAATGACAGTTTTAGAACTGAAAAATATAACAGTTGAAATAATAACCTCAGGGGATGGGCACAAGAGCAGAATGGAGGTCAGAAAGAAAAGAAATAGCAAGCTATAAGATAGAAATTATTCAACAGAGAAAACACAGATGGAAAAAAAAAAATAGAGCCTTAGGGATTTGTGGGACTATAACAAAAGATGTAACATTCCTGTAAATGGCGTCTGAAGAAGAAATGAGAAAGGGGATGTAGCGGGAAAATATTTGAGAAAAATGATATCTAAATATTTCTAAGTATTTTCTAAATTTGCCAATAAACATACAGGTTCAAGAACTTGCACAAACTCCAAAAAGGATTAAAAAAAAAAAAGAAATCCATGCCACAACATATCATAATTAAATTTTTGAAAACTAAACACAAAGAAAAGTCTTGAAAGTAGCCAAAGAAAAATAACAATTTAGGAAAATAATCATTCTTATGTTAGTAGTTTTCTCCAAAAAAAAAAAAAGGTGGGGGGTGCTAAACAGATCTCCATAAATAGAAAGGAAGTTGTTTAACATCAGAAAGGAAGAACATGATAAGCAAATGGGTAAATACAGTAGATTTTCTTTCTTCTCTTGAGTTTCTAACAAATATTACAGTGCTCTCTGATGTCCTACATGTATGTAGTGGAAATATGTAAGGCAGTTATATGGAGAAGGGCAAAGAAATAAGATTCCTCCAATTCATTTAATATGGCAAAATGATGAAACCAGTCATCTATGACAAGTTATGTTTGTATAATGTAGGTAAATCAAAATGGAATTTTAAAAAAATGTTTAAGTATGAACCATATTTCCATAAGAAGGCAGAGAAAAAAACAAAGCAAAACAGAGAAAATGACCATAAACAAATGAAAACGAAATAGCAAACTTAAGTCCTAATATACCAATAATCTCATTAAACACAAACTGTCTAAAAACACATTAAAATACAGAGATTTTCAGAGTAGGTTTTTTTTGTTTTTTTTGTTTGTTTGTTTGTTTAGTGAACCAGCTATTTGCTGTCTAGGAAAAACTCACTTCAGATTAAACAGGCAAGTGGAAAGTAAAAGTATAGAAAAAGATACACCATGTAAGCATTAATTAAAAGAAAGTAGAAGTGGTTACATTATTATCATATAAACTAAAACCTGAAAACAAAGAAAATCACTAGAGATAGGAAGACAAATTATATGGTGGTCAAAGTATCAATCCAATCTGGATTGACGAGAAAGGATTATGGAAAGAGACAGACAGATACTAAATGATCTCACTTACATATGTAATTTACAAAACAAAAATCAAAACACACAAAAAAGCAATAAAAATGTGTTTCAATGAGTGAATAATGAATGTTATGTCCACACCATGATTTGGTCAAAAAAAAAAAAAAAAGGAATGACCTGTTGATAATATAATAATCTGGGTGAATCTCAAAAACATTATGCTGAGTGAAAAAAATGCCAGTCCCACATATTGTATCAGTTCA